TTGGTTTTTTTTAAATAAAATAAAATAACACACTTGATAAAACAGTAACATGTAAAATCAACACCTTCTTTTAGCTGGAAACCTCCACTAAAGTATTGCAGTAAGTTGATTCCAAACATAGCTTGGTAAAATAACTTGCTTCTTCGAGAGCTGCAGATCTGAGCATGCGCGACCACACCCAAATTTTGGAGCACATGGCAAGCTTCTTTAATTAACAAAATGGCGGCATGCAGCTAAGATGGCTCGATCCAGCAGTCACAGTATCACTTTTTCCTCACTTGAAGAATGATCTAATGGGACATGGACCTGCGCATAGACTGTTGGAGTAGATTGGTGTAAGAATTATCCTTGTAGCACCAACCAATACTGAGATACACACCGACAACTGGATTGACAGGACTTCTGACTTGATGATGATGATGATGATGATGAAGATGAAAAAGGTGGCTGAACAAAACGGCCGGTTCGCCGATTTTTGGATTTTCTCTTAGACAAGGTCTAGAGCCACGCTAGTGGTACCAATGGAGTCCTCTGGTCAAGATGAGGTTCTCTAAGAAGTCTGGTAAGCATAGGAGCTCGTTTTCCTGGTATAGCAAGGCTGCAAAAGTCGTGGCAGCCATTTTGTTTGGGGGTGAATCCTACTTAGTAACGCTACCGCGTTACTAATAGCCTTTGGTCGTTGGTCTAGTTTTTGAGCAACTTTAAAAATTCATAAGAAATCTAATTTTGATTGAAATCAGCTCAAATTTTCTATACAACATAAGAACATGTATATGTATCAGAAAAAATTATAAAAATGGAGAATTCCTTCTTTATGATTTTTTAAAAATACCTGTACTGAAGAAGCTACACGAGCACTATATGCCAAAATCGTATGATAAACCCTGGTTACATGTATATTTTGACCCATTGTCATCATTACAGGGTGATATTGGAATGAAAGGAGAGCTTGGTAGTAGAGGTCCATCAAGGACCATTAGGCAAAGGAGGATCACCTGTATAATACTGTCATATTGTATTACAATTATGTACATCACAATAGGGTCTTAAAGGAATAAAAGGACAGAGTGGTATTGATGGTGATAAAGGAGAGAAAGGAAGGGAAGGAGGACCAGGAGTTAATGGAACCAAAGGACTAACAGGAGAGAAAGGAATGAAAGGAGAGAAAGGTTCTATTGGACTACAAGGAAACAAAGGAGATACTGGCACTAATGGAAGAAATGGTAGCATTGGCCTACCTGGAATTGACGTATGTTCATGTATATACATGTATTTCTCACTTTCAAGAATTCTAGGGTATTTCTACTACGCCTGGTTCCAAAGGAATGTTGGGTGGACCAGGAAGAGAAGGATTATTAGGAGCAAAGGTTATAGTTCTTCACAAATTGATGTTTTATTGCATGATTATAGGGGCATCAAGGACAAACAGGTTTATCTGGAATTGATGGGGTGCCAGGTGTTGCTGGAAAACGAGGGCTTCCTGTTAGTTTTTGTAAACAATGGGCTTGGTTCTATTTTCATTGTACAGGGTAGAGAAGGTAACATTGGTATGTTGGGTGATGAAGGACAAAAGGGACAAATGGTATGTTGTGTAATAACATGTTGTTATACTTTCATTGAAAAGTGTAGGGCCCAAAGGGAATGAAAGGTAAACGTGGCGATAGAGGGTTACACGGGCTAAATGGTGCTAGAGGACTTAATGTAAGTTTGAAGCTTAGTTAGACTTGCAATAGTTTACTTACTGTGTCACTTTTTGATTGTATTTCAATATACTGTGATAGCACCTCTCTATTGTTGCAGGGAAGTCAAGGGATTAAAGGAGTTAAGGGAGAATTGGGTCCTCCTGGGAATCGAGGTCCTACTGGTGATGCTGGTGATAGAGGAATGGATGGTACAATGGGAATGAAAGGAGAGAATGGAAGTAGAGGAGACAATGGAATGATTGGATTACCTGGAGACAGAGGGAGAAAAGGACATCAGGGAAACAAGGGAGTAGATGTAAATATTCATCAATTTTTTAGCATAATTTAACTTGAGTATAGGGAAGTAATGGAATTGATGGGAGACGGGGAAAACCAGTATGTAAGTGAACTTTTTGAATTTATTTCAATTGAAATAGGGCTCTGTGGGAAACAAAGGAGCTATTGGAAATAAAGGAGACAATGGAACCGATGTTAGTAACTTGATGTATACAGTTGCTATCTTTATTATTATTATTAGGGGATGATGGGTATGAAGGGAATGCCAGGTAGCAGAGGACCAATAGGGCCACTAGGACCAACTGGATCAACTGTAACTATAATAATAATAACATAATTATTTAAATAAATAAATTATTATTCTGTAGGGATTTCATGGAATAAAAGGACCTAATGGTGGGATTGGTGATAAAGGAGAAAAAGGATATAAAGGAGAACAAGGAATAACTGGAAACATTGGTATTACTGGAATCACAGGAGATGAAGGAATGAAAGGAGAAAGAGGCCCTGTTGGGTTTAATGGTGATCAAGGAAATATTGGTGATAAAGGAATGAAGGGCTTGCATGGACTAAAAGTAAGGACTAGTTGGATTTGAAATAATTACCTTATATTTTGTACCATACTAGGCCCAAAAGGGTAATACTAGTCATATTGCCAGTACTGGTGATAAAGGAATTGTTGGATCCAGTGGGGACAAAGTAAAGTATAATACAGTGTTTTAGACTTTAGTACATGTATATGTCATCATTATTGGCCTCACTGCACTTTATAAGGCACTGGATACTTTGGTTATTTTTAATGTAGGGAATGATGGGAGACAAAGGTGACATGGGGGACATTGGACCAACTGTAAATGGATCAGTGGGACCTATAGGATTTAAGGCTAGTTAGATAAATCTACTTTAAGCCCAACATACACTGAGCAACTTTGTTGCCAGTACCTTTGATGTGGTGAGGCAACTTGTTGCCAGAAGTTGAGAGTCTCTCTACTTTCTGCAACATGTTGCCCAGTTTTGCTCAACTACATCAAAGGTCTGACCACAAGTTGCCGGCAACAAAGTTGCTCAGTGTATGTTTGGGTTTAGCTGTAAAATTTCCAATTATACCTGTACCGTACTCACCTGTCATACTTTGTGTTCATTTTACTTGAGAAATTTTATCTTTGAATGACATCTTGGCTTATAGTTGATGCACATACATGTACATATGCATGCATAAAATAGACCTTTAGATGTTGTAGGAACATTTAATAATTATTGGCAACATCAATATTATTTTTATATAGCCATGTACCTGTTGTGTTTTATTTTAATGATATTTGTGTTGTTTAGGGTGAGAAAGGGGATAAAGGTAACAGAGGATCCAAAGGAGACATTGGTTCTGAGGTAAATCAAATCATTTTGATTTTTGAATGAATTAATAACAATTAATTATTATTATCATTTAGGGTCCTAAAGGCACAAAAGGTATGAATGGTCCTCCTGGTGATGGTGTCATTGGATCTAAGGTACAAAATAATTACATATGTATTATATTAATAAATTGGCACAGGGTGAGATGGGTCCATTTGGAGATCCTGGCTCTAGAGGAGTTGATGGTGAAATTGTATGTTCACATGTTATGATGTAGCAGTTTATTATCTTTGCTAATTGCTAATCATACCACTCCCTTTATATAGGGTATGACTGGTGATGATGGTGATGATGGTGAAAATGGTTTTAAAGGTTTTAAAGGAATTACTGGAGATCCTGTAAGATGTCATTATGACTGACCACAAAGAGTATAATTATACTTCAGGGTGCTCGTGGATTGAAAGGTTTTCCAGGTATGATCGGTGATGATGGCAATGTGGGAAGCCCTGGAGCAATTGGTCCAGCTGTAAGTCATTAGTGATTTATAGATACTAATTATAAGGACACAGGGTAGTATTGGGTCAAAAGGAAATACTGGTCCTCCTGGTGATAAAGGACTAAGAGGATCAATTGGTTCTACTGGTATTATTGTGAGTTTTAATAAAGAGAGAGTCATTGTGACAACTGTATGTTAACAGGGAAATAAAGGAATGCAAGGAGTAAATGGAGACTTGGGCATGAGAGGGGATGATGGCGAAGCAGGAGAAAAAGTATAATCATAATTTCTCTCATTAAATTCTATGTCCCTTTTTATAAGGGTTTTATGGGAAATAAAGGATATAGAGGTCTTCGTGGAATTACTGGAGCACGGGGCGACCCTGTGAGTTTGTAATAGCATTTATACCTTATACATGTACGTGTTTATTATGCTTGGCTTACTTCTTATTTTTCTTTTCTTTTTTTAGGGAACAAAAGGAGAAACCGGTATCATTGGTGATAATGGTGAGACTGGTGTGCAGGGAGATAATGGAACCAAAGGAGATGCTGGTCGTGTTGGAAAGCCTGGTCCAAAGGGAACTACAGGATTAATAGTAATTTAAAATTGTTATATTAATGAGTTTGAACAATTATAAAGGGATTTACTGGAAAGCCAGGACTAAGAGGAGATACTGGAAATACGGGACCACCTGGCAAAAAAGTATGTGTGTTTTAGCTAAACTGTGAAGGCATACTCATAAAGGGCTTGATTGGTGGTGTTGGGCCAAATGGAGACATTGGTGATATGGGCTTGAAAGGATCGAAAGGCATCACAGTTAGAATTTTGTCGTTTAAAGCAGTAGAATATTGTCTCATTTGTGTATAATAGGGCCCTAAAGGAGTAAATGGATCAAAAGGTGATAATGGAAGTACTGGAATGGATGGAAGAATAGGAAAAATGGTTATCTTTATTTGCTTGTAAAACTGCGTTATTCTTTTAAAAATTTCAGGGCTTGCAGGGA